TGGCATAAGCACATGGAAGTTCCTCACTCCGGTTTGTGGGTTGGATCCTGGTGTATAATGCACTGGTTTTGACATCTAAAAATTAAGCTGATTAATAGTACAGTATATTGTAGACAGCTAAATTAAAGTATACCAAATATCCTATGAAAAGATCCTTTGAAAGAAAAGTATAGCCATTTCCCCCTATTTAGCTTCCACTATTCAAAAACACTTCAACACACCCTCCCCTCCCTCCATTAAGGTACTCTTTTTGAAGATTGGCATGGCTTGTTTCCTGAAGAATCAAAGCTTGATAGGCTTGTGCCTGTCAAACTTCCCTGAGAAAAAAAATCTACTAGTGCCGTAACATTTGTGATTTATAATTTTATTAGATCTCTCTTTCCTAAGGGTGTGCTGATAGTTGTCTTTGAGAAGGGGCTTTATAAGCTTCAGAAAAAATTAAACTTGGTTGAGTTTTTTACATGTTATAGTGAAACTGAAACTGATGTTTCTTGTATGACTGTTGTTTGAAGGTCAAGACTTATGTAGTGCAAAGAGGTGTACCGGTAAGGGCCAAATATGTGTTGTAAACAATCATAATCAAGCTGTTTGCCAATGTCGTGAATCATGTCCAAGACCTGGACACCAGGAAAGAGTATGTGGATCTGATGGCATCACTTACAAAAGTCGCTGTATACTAGATAGGACATCTTGTAAGCTGGGCACTGACATTACAGTGGATTCAAATAGATGTAAAGGTATGACTGTGTGTGTTTTATTGTTTCATAACTCCAGGTAAATGTATTTGTGTGAATATAATGTCCATGTAATATGCTAATTTACAACTTTTTGTGTTCCTTTCAGGGAATTTAAAGCTCAGTGCAGCTCACCAGTTAAAGCAAACCCTGGTTTCTGGTAGAAGAGGCGAAATCCATTGTGAATTTGAAGGGAAGGCAGCTCAAGTGTTATGGAAAAAAGTTGGTATGCTGCATCACCTTCCTTATGGAAGAGTGTTGTCATCAAACTCAAAGACTCTACGCTTCCGCCGGGTCCATGCAGAAGATGCTGGAACGTATAAGTGCCGTGCCTATTCAGGCAGTTCTATTGTTGAAGCTACTGTTGTTGTCGCAATAACAGGTATATTGTTAATATGCTTTGCACTTGTTTTTATTTTGGTGGGTGTCCTGTGCTAGTGAGCCATGATTTTCTTTTCGTTGTTTGTGTTCTATATTTCTGTTCCATTTTGAAGTGCATGTATTTTGTCGCATTTCAGATCCCAGTGAAGTTGACAGTAATGTGGCCTCACCGCATGTATGCCATTTGGAAAAGCTCATTGGTACTGGTACAAATTTTTCAACAAGATGGTATTTTGATAGCAAAAATGGAATGTGTCAACCATTCCCATACAGTGGTGTTGGGGGAAATGAAAACAACTTTGACAGCAAGATTTTGTGTTTACGGAAGTGCTCCCATGCTGGTAAGTTCATGGATAAATGTCATGTTATAGTCATGTCAAGATTGTTGTGTGACTGGTCATTGCTGCACGATGATAGTGAGTGTGGCAATATAATCACCAGCTCCACACAGAATAAGAGTTTTAATGACTGTAGTCATAGACCAATGATTGCTACCATGGTGTGACCAGTGCAAGTCACGTTCCATTGGTCGTGGAGTATTGGGCAAGTGTTTTGCCACAAGGTATCTTAGTCTTGAAATAGTTTTGCTTGATCTTACAAAGCATTTTTGATAGTGATTAGTGCCAGGAGGTACTATTAATTGCATTGGAGGTACGAGAACGCAACCCCTAATTTCTGTTGGTGTCCTGTGCAATTAATAGGTGAGAATGTTTGAGATTGTCGACACCTATTTGCCTTGCTTTGAGGTGCTAGCATATCTTGTGCCTCACTTTAATGCTCAAACACGCATGGTGATTCGTGGACATGTGTTCCTCATGTCTTCGTAAAACGTTGTTCATCTTTTTCTTCATCTTCTTCATATTAAAAGTGTTGTTCATCTCTTTCTTGATCGTTGGTGCTGCATTGGAAACAGTTTTTCTCACCCAGGAACTGGTTTTGTATTTGGAAAAGTGCTAAGTAGGTGATTTGTGTTAACCTACAGTGTCACACAACAAGGGTTTAAATTTATACGCGATGCTTTGACGTCTCAATCAATAAACTTTTCAATTGACTTTTTGACCATCTGATACAGTGCAAAAGAATATCCTGAGTATCACAGTCAGTGTTTGACCCGTTTTTTAAGCTTACATGTACTTTACTTAGAGGTTTATCCCCACAACTACCTGTACACCCATTAATTATCTAAGAAGCTAACAAAGATATTGAACGCACTCTCCTAAACTCCGATTACGCGTAGTTGATATTGTCTTGTTTATTAATTGTTCGAAGGCTGATTAGCGCTTAACCCAGGTTTCTCTTTCTTGTGTTCAAAAGCATTTTCTTGGAAAATTTTCTGTTATTTTTAGAGCTTTCAATTGTCAACTTGTAGACAAAAAGGATTAAAACTGAAATGCTTTTTAAGCTTTCAAATCTGAATTCAAATCTCGCACTAAACCTGGGTTATCTTAAGCCGGCTTTGAACAACTCGGCCCTGTAGCACATTGACACCTACACTGATCACCCATTCAGTTCCTAGCTCTGTCCAATAAGGTTAGGGTTAACTTAGGTGTCTCTATTCCCTCTGAGATTCCCATGGTTTTACAAGACAAGTATTCTAAGGCTACTTGATTGTAGTCCTCTAGGCTAACCTGCCATCATTTGTTTACAGCTTTGTTGTGAATCTTTCTCTTTATACATGCCCAATAAATTACTTAATGCATTTATTTGTGATAAGAGTGTACCAACCCAAAGAGAAATATAATGTCCTTTTTCTTTCCTTTTAGCTGGTGACATCTGCAGTCTTCACAAAAAACCTGGTTTGTGTATGGCATATTTTCCACGTTGGTATTATGACACAAACAAAGGAAAATGTGAACCTTTTATTTACGGTGGATGCATGGCAAATGCAAACAACTTCAAGACCAAGGACAAGTGTGAGGAAACTTGTACAGGTATAGGAAATAAATGATCCAAAATAAGACATATATTAACCCTTTAAGCTCCAATATCCACATACAAATTCTCCAAACTGATCTCTATACATTTCCTTTAAGAATTAGTTAAGAGAATTTGATAAAAGATCAAAGTAGTTTCTCGTAGGTGATCATTTTATTAATTCTCATAACCTCATCTCATGACAATGTATGGATATCGTTAGGAGAAAATTGCTGTTGGTCACTATTGGGACTTAAAGGGTTAATGACATACATAGTGTATTACTTCACATGATTGAACTTCGCCTAGAATGACCACTTAAATTTCCAGCCTGTGTGTGTGTAGCAGTAGTGGTTGGTTGCAAGAGGTCTGAAGACTGGTCTGAATATAAGCTAAATTTCACAGGTCAGGGTACTGGTCACCTGTGATGATGCTCTTGTTAATTTAACAGAAGTTAGTGCATTCAGCTCTCCTATATATATTCATACATGAATTGTGGTAGATAAGGGAGACACTGGTTGGTGCTAGTTAGGTCTTCATTCCTAGTGCAATTGCCTTAATTGTACTCCTGACTGGAATGTAGGCTACATGTGTCACCATTTAGATGCCAGTTTCACTTGCTTACAGGTACAGTAACAGATTTAACTGTCATAACAAAAAAGACTCGATTCTTTCTGTCATCTCTAAGCCTTAGTGCATGCCATCTTTTTTCTTTTCTTCTTGTCTTTCAGCCAGCCGTATTTGTAGCTTAACCCCTGAGACTGGTCCTTGTAAGGCATATATGCCGCGATATTTCTATAACCAAACTTCAGGACAATGTGATAAGTTTATTTATGGGGGCTGTCAAGGAAACAGCAACAACTTTCCAACTTTTGAGATTTGTCAGGAGAAGTGTCAAACAGGTGAGAATAGGACCATCATCAATTTTTTTTTCATTACAACACAGCATAATTAACCCATTTGTCCCTGGAAGTTTTGCTGAAAACACTATAGTAGCTTGTTGAGCCATATCTGGCCACTGTCTGGCCACACAAAGGATTGTTTACCACTTACAGCTGTTGAAGTTAGGGCATACCTAAAAAGGAAAATTTGTTTTTGGACAAAAAAGTTTCAATGCCCCTTGACTTCTACCTTTTTCTTTCTTTACTTCCATTTGTTTCAATCCCTCCTCCCCCCATTTTATTCTCCATTTTTTTAATCTTGGAAGTCTCAGAGTTCTCAGCCCGTAAGCAATTGGAGCCATGAAGGGGTGGGTTTGTCAAGACATGCAGAATTGACTTTAATTTCGCTGGACAGTCATTTAATACCCTTAGGAACCTCCAAGCATCCCTGAGTGAAAACCTTAGTGATGCCTTGATGATTTCATGCAGTGGTGGATCGAGACCTTTAGATGAGGGGGGTGGGTCATCCAGACCCTGAGATAAGGGAGGTGGGCAGTCTCAAAAAAAATTATCCCCTGCATCCGCCGCTGTCATGACTTTCATGTACAAAACTAAGTTCTATTTAATTTCTTTTTTCAGATAAAGAGCTCTTTCTCTATTTCTAATTTATTTCAGCTCAGGCTATCTTGAGTGGTCTGCCAGAGATGTCACCAACAGTTTTTGGAAAATTTGTTTCTTTTTAAAGGTCATTCAACCAGGCCTTAAACGTCTTGAAATAGAAGCATAGCACGTACAGAAGGATTGCTTTGTTGTTAATGTTTCTTACTAACTGATCTTTTTTTTTTTAATGTTATGTTTCAGTTTCCAATCGTACCCCAAAAGACAAACAAGGTACTAGTATGTTTGTGGCTCTAGATTTATGTGTTGAAAGACAAAATGATTGTTGATCATTTTGTGACCAGTAGTTGTTTTTTTTATTCTTTCTCATGGTGGATTCAAGAAATCATGAACTTTACTTGTGGTCAATTTTTTTTTAGAAAAGCTAGGTCGCTGTCCTTGGGGAATTCCAGGCATCCCTATTTTTTGCATTATGTCAAAGGATACTTGCCAGTCAGATGATGAATGTGATGATGATAAGAAGTGCTGCCAATCTGGATGTGGATTGTCATGCATGATGCCACTGACTACAAACAAGCCTGGCAAGTGCCCAAGGGTGCCTCAAGGTGACAAGGACTGTGACAGAAAAGGAGACATGTGTGATAGAGATACAGACTGCCCAGGGAATCGCAAGTGCTGTTTCAATGGCTGTCAGAGAGATTGCAGAGTACCAGAGGCACCGAAAAGAATAAAACCTGGTGTCTGCCCTGCAATGAATGCTATCAATCCTAATCTGTGTAAAATTACAAAAGATCAGTGCAAAATGGATGATGACTGCTTTGGTCACCTCAAGTGCTGCTTTAATGGATGTTTCAGTGAGTGTATGAAGAGGCCTCAGCCACGCCCAAAGCCAGGCGTGTGTCCAATTACCGACTACATCCCTCCTGAGAACTGTTCAGATACAGAGGACAAGTGCATGGATGACACACAATGTCAAGGCAGAGATAAGTGTTGTGCGACTGGGTGTCTGAAGGAGTGCGTAACCCCTCCAGCTGTAAAGAAGCCTGGTATGTGCCCTATTTTAGACTACATTAATCCTGAAGATTGTGAGGTAACTGAAGATGAGTGTGAGGAAGATTCTGATTGTGATGGAAGAGACAAGTGCTGTGATACTGGCTGCATTAAAGAATGCATCACTCCCCCAATTGAAGTTAAGCCTGGGGAGTGCCCTCTAGTGAATTTCATCTCCCCTGAGTTGTGCACAGCAACTGAAGATGAATGCGAGTATGATAATGATTGTAAAGGTAGGGATAAATGCTGTGCAACTGGCTGTATACAGGAGTGTGTGACACCACCCAAGGGAAGGCCCGAAATAAATAGCACCTTTGTACATGTAGTTGGCCGCTGCCCAAAACCATGGAAAGGGCGAGATGGTGTATGTGATCGTCGTGGAGATATGTGTCATGATGATGACAATTGCAATGAAACAACAAAGTGCTGCTTCAATGGATGCCAAAAAGACTGCATCGAACCCATACCTGTTTATAAGATAGGGTCTTGTCCAAAACCATGGAAAGGGCAAGATGGCATTTGCGATCGTCGTGGAGACATGTGCAGTGTTGACATTGACTGTGAAGACTCGGAGAAGTGTTGCTTCAATGGTTGTCAGCGTGACTGTGTGAAGCCCCATACGAGGGATTTATCTGAAAGGCCTGGTCAGTGCCCCAGCCCATGGAAAGAACAACCTTGTGACAGGAGAGGAGATATGTGTGATACAGATGACGATTGTGGAGATTCAGCTGGAAACAAATGCTGCCATAATGGTTGTCAGAAAGATTGTGCCAAACCAGGTGAGAGAATACATCCTTATGAATTTTTCAATTTTTGCCTGGGTCCAGTTAACATGGCTGGAAAATCACACCTTAAAATCAGTAAATTAAGTTGCCAAATTTGAAAATGATTTGTCGAAAACTAACAAAGATATAGCTCTATCTGCAAAGGCGTGAAATGTAATGACTGTTTGTTTGGTGGGAGGCAAGTTCGTACTCCCTACCATATAAATGTCTGTAAAATTTCACAACTTCTGGGAGTTATACCTTTGCTCACTTTAGATATATCACTTCCAAACTTGGCAAGTTTTATTTTGCTAATGTTAAGGTGACTCTTTCCAGCAGTGACACCAAACTTTTTCCTTAATGATCCTCATCAGAACTTAGGAAAAAAATGTGGAAGGTTCAATTAATGCATAAGCTCATAGTAGCCACCAACCAAAGCTGTTGCAGGGGTTGGCCCTGCTCGTCATGTACAGCTCCATAAAGGATACTGGATGCTTTGACTCCAGGCTTTTTTTTCAAAGATTTCATCTCAGTTGCCTTTAGTTTACATTGGGCCTATTAGTGGCTCATGTTTGTTTCTCAGGGGGTAAATAATTTTGTCACACTTATGGTGCTATCATTTTGTAGTCTCTGAGCATGCTTTCTTTTTGGGTCTTATTCATGCAGTGGGGACTGGGTTTGGGTTCTGACTTCAGAATTTTGTCATAGATTTTAGAAAATAAAAACCTGTTTCAAATTTTAGGCTAAACAGGTTCTTATTTAATAGAGGGGGCTTAACTGGCAAATTTTAGCCTGATAGGTTCTTAAAATACAGGTTCTTTTTTACACGTAGGTGTATGCCTGTAATTGTCATGGGTGTTTTATGCAACTGATGGGCCCTGGCCTGCGACCCATGTAAAAAAGTTATCAATACAGAACCAACATGTTAAAATAACTGATTTTTATGGCCCTAAACTTTGAAATGGGTTTTCAAAAATTAACTTTGTAATTACCTTTCTTTTAAATGATCAGTGAACCTAACAAAGTGCCAGGAAGAAACCATCAAAGCCTTGGACAAACTTGCGTTAGACCCTCCCCTGCTGGGTGTTTTTGTGCCAAGATGTAAACCAGATGGAGAGTATGAAGTTCAACAGTGTCATGAATTACACTGCTGGTGTGTGGACAAAGTTGGCAACAAAATTCCAGGCACAACAGTGTGGGGCTCAGCCGTCTGCTTACCACAAGGTACAAAAATAATGACCCCAACTTCCTCACCCCACCCCGTCTCCATCCCCACCCATGTACTAGCTTGAAAGTCGTTTCACCTAGCTAGCTAGAAAAAAAGGTTTTTGATGAGCATTGATTTAAGTTTTTCTACAATAGTTTGAATTTCCCAAAACACTTTACTTGCCCATTGGCCAAGGCTGTCATTAAGAGGCAGGAGCCGGGGATTTCCTCCGGCTACTATGAACATGGCCGCGGCTACTTTCTATGGAAAATAAAAGAAAAGTAGAACCAAAAGAAACCCCTAGCTGTTTGATTCCCCGCCTACTTTGTTGCATTTACCCTGCAACTTGAAATCTTAGTGACAACCCTGATACCAACATCAACCAGCCCTGGGGTATCGGACATAACTGCCCGCCTTTCGATCACATGACCTATACCCAGGCCCCCAGCAGTGTGTGAGAAAAAGATTTTCCAGTTATTTCGTTACACTCAGCCAGTAGCCTGTTCCAGGCGTTCAGATAGTGGGGAGCGGTGCAAAGTAAAAAGGAGCGCGAAAAAATAAAAGCGAGGGAGGAGCATCTCTCTCTCCAGTCCTCCTCTACTTTTCATCGCTTTCTTTACTTCGCACCGCTCTCCACTATCTGAACGCTTGGAACAGGCTACTCAGCCAGTGAAAAATTACCCTTTACAAGCAGGGGTAGTACAGTAAAAACCCGCGTGTAAGAACCTACTTTTTTAGAGTTTGGCAAAACAGGTTCTTATATTTTGGGGTACTAAAGTAGCAAATTTCTGCCAGGAGGTTCTTAATTTTCTAGGTTCTTACACGTGGGTTTTTACTGTATTATGAAACACCATTGTTTTAGCTCATGACATACGTTGCCGGTAATCCTCTGAGAATTTATTTTGTTTTGGGCACATTATGCAGCTACTTGTCCTAACCTCTTCATTTTGTGTGAAATAATTCCTTTATAGACAAACAAGGTAAATGTCCAAAACCATGGAAAGGTCAAAATGGAATCTGTGATTACCGTGGTGACATGTGCCTTCAGGATTCTGATTGCAGTGGAGATGACAGATGCTGCTTCAATGGATGCCAAAATGACTGTGTACCTCCCGGTAAGTGGAATATAATGAATTTCTTCAAGAGAAGGGAATATAATACGGTTAAAGCCCATTGATTCAGATACCAAAGGAACGAAACCAAGGGGCCACATGGGCTCGATTTCAGCTGCTGTCCGGGAAACGAGCCCGCACTCCTCCCCCGAACAGCGGGTGGTAATCAAGCCTAAGGGTCTCATTAAAGATAGTTATTTCAGGGGGTGTCACTTTTTTTACTTAGGCCAGTGGCCTGTTTCTCAAAGTCCTGGTAACTTTTTTGGGCCTCAAAAACAAATGCAGTCGAAGCCCTCCTTGCAACCACTCTCGTAAGCGACCGCGACCACTTTTGGGATTACCCAACTAGACTTTTCCTTTGTTTTTAAGCTCTCGCAAGCGACCACTCGGGTCTTTTCATATAAATCAATACTTTAATGAAACTGCACACTGCGCGAATGGTTCGTCGCTAAAGATATCTTGTACGGTACAGTATTGTATTTGTATAAGTTCAAGGTCCAAAAAGTTGGACATAAAGTTAAGCTGTGTTTGTATCAGATATAAAGACACCCATCACACATTAAGTTCCTTTGTTTTTTCGTTATGGTTTATTATGGAGTTTTTGAGGCTCTTCGTAATCGAATCCAACTCATTAGATCTTTTCATGTTTCAGTGGGTATTAAACTTTGCAAGAAGCACAAGAAGGCCAATGGTGCATCTGGTAATGAACATCCTTTAATTGGTGCCTTTGGCCCCAGCTGCAAAGTAAATGGAGACTATGAAGAAATCCAGTGTCATGGCTCAACAGGGTTCTGTTGGTGTGTAGACAAGTTTGGTAATGAACTGGAGGGAACGCGGACACGAGGAGAGCTTAACTGCTCGCATCCAGGTAAGAAAGGCTGGGAAAATGTTACTTAGAATGCGTTCATTCGCATTTCATAGCGAGCCTCTATGTGATCGTCGTTTTTGTCGCGCGTTTTCAATCAGTCGTCGATTTTTTAACGAAATCTTCACATATCTAGAATTGTTCCCGGAGAAGGGTTAACTCTGAACGCGCTGCACACTTTTTTTGGCGGATTTCTTTGCTGTCATCACACGACTAACGTTGTTAAAGTTGATCGAAATGCAATGCGGACGTCATTTCATCAACAGCTATACAGTGATTTCATCAACAGCTATATGGTGATTATTACAACTTGCTCAATTTGTCACATGTAACAGTAAGTGAATTGTTTTGAAGGTAAAGTTTTAAACTAAAAGAGAAAGGAAAATACATTGTCATTAGTTCGTGTCGTCCACACAATGTCGTAGTGACACAAGAAAATGTCTCTTTGTAGTGGTGTAGTGGCGGCAAAAAATGTACGCGTGATTGCATAGTTGTTGTGCTCCGTACACCTGTTAAACCTAGTGATTGTACCAATAGACGATCGAATGGCGTGGATAAAAACGAGGATGGTCTTTAAGGCGAAGCTTCATCGCTGAGAACTTTTCAGCACAGCCCATTCCAGGCAAACACGAAACTGCACTCTAAATTTAATTTTACCACGGGTACAGTCATATGGACAGCGCTCATTTATGTTTAGTGCGCGAAGACTGTGGAACAGAAGCTAACAGACTAGCTGCGGAGCTGAAAGACTGCTGTCCGTTAACTTCCTCTGAAGAAATTTGAAACTTGTAGTGGAAATTTTAGGCAATTCGTTAGTTACTTACTGTTCAAATTTTAACCCATGAATCTCTGTATTTTGATTTATTGATTGTTCTAATAATGTTGTGGTTATTTAGAATTGAATGCAGGAGCTGGAAAGAATGGAACTTGTCCTAAGCAGTGGAAGGGTCTGACTGGTTTTTGCGACAAGATGGGTGACGAATGTGGAATGGACTATCACTGCGCGGAAAATGAGAAATGCTGTTTCAGTGGCTGTCAACGCATGTGTGTGAACACAACAGAGGCTCACAAGAAAGCTCAAACAAAACCAGGACAGTGCCCAAAGCCTTGGTTGGGTCAGGAGGGTTTATGTGATCGCCGTGGTGATATGTGCAGTAAAGATGTGGACTGCCAGGGTGGCCAGTTATGTTGTTTTAATGGATGCCAACTGGACTGCGTTAACCCTGGTTAGTGATGAAACAAGTTCATTACTTAATGCTACATGTACGTGTAAACGGACGCAATATTGTTGGCCAACAACTCCCAACATTGTTGGATGTTACATATTGCGTCCGTTTGCACACCCTGCTGTTGTTGCGTGTTGTTGGGAGTTGTTGCGCAAAGTTTGAAATCGCTTAAACGTTTATCAACGTGCAAACGGATGCAACAACTCCCAAAATTGTTTGCCAATAATGTTGCGTCCGTTTGCACTATGGGCAATTGGAGAAGAGTTCTCGCAGCGCCGCAAGACTTGTTGGTTTTGTGTTACTAAGTTCTTTCGCAGCTAATCACAAGGATGATTGAGTTATAACATAACATAACGTAAAACTTTATTTATACTCGAATTTTAGAGTAGCTAACAAGCTAATATCTTCGAGGTCATGAAATGAAAGTAAACTTACAAGACTTTGCGTTGCTACATATCGGAACTTACGCGACCACGCGACAGCTAGGCATGGGTGTTAGAAAAGAAACTGTATTGTCAAGCTTAATGTATGTGAGGGAAAGAGAGCTATACTCAGTGTCATACTCGTTGCAGCGCAAGGTATGTTTAATGGTTTCAAGTGCCATTTTAGGCTCGATTGCCAGCCGCTGTTCGGGAAATGAGCCCGCGCACCTCTCCCTCTTCTCGGGGAGAATCGAGAGAGCGCCGGAAATCGAGACTAGTGTCAGTGAGCAAGTTCCTTTACTTTGAGTATGTCTCTGGGTTGTACAAGTTCGTGGTTTTGACAATGTGCTCTCAAGAGTGCTGTGTAATTTGAAGTTTTTTCTGTCTTATGCCAGTAGGGAACAATGATTTTTAACAGAAGTGTATTTCGTCCTGTTGTTCACCTTTGCATAAACTAGTGTTTTTGAAAGGTCCTTTGTTCGATATTTAGTACAATTAACGGTTAGCTTCAAAATTAGCGCCCCCTTCGAAGTCAAGAGCAACGTATATTTACCGGATACACACGAACTCAGTTTTTACTTAAAGAAACATTCCATTTTCCTGTTAAATGATACGGTTTTTCTCAAAAAATGAAATTAGCGCTGGAATTCGATCATATAAGGAACTCACAGTTTTTATCCTGCACATGTGTGATAAATTACTAGACGTATTTTCTGACGAACGTACTTTTTTTTTTCTCTGAATCCAGGC